CTTCTATACACAAGGTATTAAACATATGTTTCATCTCCGACAAGTGTCAAGTTATACTATCATTGCTTAGCAAAAATTATGGAACCAAAAATATGCCAAGAATGCTTGATGCACCCCCAAACTTAAACGACACAGTGTCCTCAATGTGGACATGGATGCAAGTGAGAGACAAAAATGACAACGAGTATAAAAGGAACAACAATACCCAGGGGGAGGGAATGGCATTTTGAAACAAAAACCCCCAAACTTGAACCGGACTGCGCAACCTGGAAAGCAATATGAAGAACCAAAAGAAACAACCACAAACACATTAATAGCACAAGCATAAAGACAGAAAACGAATGTATCGAAAGTTAACAGAACATAAAGAACTTGCATTGCAAAAAGAGTTTACATGATGACAAAAAGAACTGTACAGGGATCATGTCGACCAGAGCAACCTATACATAGCAAATTCTTACAGTTTAAAAGGAAAACAAAATATACAAGAGAAATAGTTACAGATGAAACAAAAGAGAAGGTCCACACGCGCAACAAGCTACTGGCCAGAAGGTAAACGGGCGAGGATGGAATGGAGGAGAGATTGAGTCTTACGCCGTTCAGCGGAAGCCAAACGACGGTCCTCAGCGGCGACACGGCGGTCTTCAGCAGCAAGACGACGATCTTCCTCAGCACGTGAAGAAGACTCACACAGAGCCTGAGTGCACGCGGACAAAGAATGCTCAAAATGATCTAGTCGCGCATGAATACCGGCAATGGAAGCCCGGATGAAAGCCTGGTCCTGGTGAGAGTCGACCGAAGGCTCTATCCTCGCAGTGGCTGCGGCGGTGGAAACTGCCTCAGAAGGAGGAGGAGGTGGAGCGTGGATGAACAGGGGGGCAGGAGGCGGAGGGGTACTAGAATGGCTCAGAACATTGATCCACCGGCGCTGGGTAAAAATTTTAATTTTGTCGCCTCTTGGTTCGTGGGGAGGAACAACGAAACCTTTGTGCTGAAGGAGTCGAGTGATGAAAAACGGCAAAGGCAATTTCCGATTTTCAACTCGCGGAGCCCGTGCATTATGAGCATCATGCCAAAACTTCATAAAGGTGGACCAAATGAGCTCTGGGATGGAGAACCATTGGCCTTGGTCCATGGCATATAAGGCTTGCAGAAAGAGGCCCCGACGCTCGGTGCTGTGCACCAAAGGGCAAACATTGTGCTTGAAGACAGTGTCAATGAACCATAGGCGTTCCGGAAGATTGGTTTTGCGGATAAAAGACCGGGGCCGAGTAGGATCGTCAATAGGGCAAATGGCAGCGGCAATCTGCGCCACAGTTAATGTATCCGGCTCCTCATATAAAGGGAGATTCTCACGATTGACAATGTCATCGGGGCACTCAATGGGGCAACCAGAAACCTGAATGATGTCGGTCATAGTGAAAGCATAGGCGGTGCCGTCAATGGATGTAGTGAGAGAAATGGGTGGCTCTTCAGGGCACTGGAGATTCTGGTAGAAGAGGCGCACTACACGGGGGTAGGCAACCCTGGCAAGGGGTGCGCAAATGTGTTGCAGACGCCGGTTAGTCAATTCGGCGACAGCCCACGAAGTTGTGGGTAGAATGTCAAAGGCATCCGTGAGCGGAAATGAGAGTTCGTAGTTGAGTTGTTTGCGATCCCAAGGATCACGTGGTCGCTCACGAGTGACAGTACGGGCACCTGAAGAGGGTCTAGGAGGGCGAGAAGGACCGGCACGAGACATTTAGAGAGGTGGACTTGGTTGAGGAATTTCAGCGAACACCTGGCGTGCACCACAAAAAGGAGAAGAGGAAAGTGAGTGGGATGGAGGAGCAAACCCAAAATTTTTAACAAAGAAACAAGCTCTAGCATTGACAAAGCAACAACAAATCACCAACAAAACCAAACTCCAACATTACTAGCCCATCCTCCGTGTAAAACACCATGAATGAACAAAGGAAAAGAAAAACTAAGGAAGAGGACACAAACCTGAATGTCAGGGTATCCGAGAGCAAGAAGGAAGGCAGGAAGAGGGAGGTGAGAGGATGGGGTGGTGAGGTATGGAGGTGGGTTGGTTATGCAAGTGGATGCTGAAGGTGGTGGGTGGAGGAGTGCCGAGAGGGTGATGGGTGTTGGATGTTCATGCATGCAAGGTGTGGTGCATGCTGGTGGTTGTGCACTTGGTTGTGAGTGGGAGAGAGAGAAAAGCTGGTGTGGTGTGTGAGAGGGTCGAGCAGGTGGTTGGGGAAGGTAGAGAGAGAGAGAGATGAAAAGTGGGTGCAATGAGGGTGGGGAAGTTGGAGCCAAGAGAGGGGGATGAGAGTGAGGTGATGGTAGCTTCGGGGTTTAAAAGAGGGAGAGTGAGAGCTTGGTTCGAGCACTCGAAGGCCCACTTCGAGTGCTCGAAATGGGGGCAGAGAGTTGGGTGAGGGGCTAGGGTGTGGGAAGGGGAGTTCGAGCACTCGAAGCTGGGTCTTCGAGTGCTCGAAATTTGAGCAGTGGGTGGAGGGGTGGTGAGGTTGGTTGTGATGGTTGGTAGGAGGGTGGTGAGCTGAGTGGTGAGGGATGGGAGGGGTGGCATGCATGCATGGGCCTGCATGCATGCATGGCCGAGAGGGTGGATGCAGGAAGGTGGTTAGCTGGGTGGTGAGGGGTGGAGGCCGAGAGGTGGTAGTGGTGCATGGTGTTGGAGGGTGTGTTGTTGGTGTGTTGCCGAGAGAAAGAGAATGTGGGTTTGAGAGGTGGCATGCATGCATGGACGTGCATGCATGCATGCAGGGTGGTGATGTATGGTTTGGTTTGGGAAGAGAGAGAGAGGAAGGTTGGTGTGCATGGTGTGAGATAGAGTTGAGGGTTTGCATGCATGCATGGCCATTCATGCATGCATGGGAGGAGGGTTGATAGATGGAAGGTGATTGCTGAGTGGTGGGTTTGGCATGCATGCATGTGTGGTGAGCTTGAGTTGGAGGGTGGTTTGGGGAGTTTGGTTTGAAGTGGGTTGCTGTTGTGTTGCAAGAGGTGGTGATGTTTGGTTTGTAGAGGCCGAGAAAGAGAGAAGGTTGGAAGGTTGGTTGGGTGCGTTGGGTTGAGGAGAGAGATAGGATGGTGTGGATGATGAGTTGCGAAGCTTGCATACAGGGTGTGGTTTGCATGGGATGGCTGCGAGGGCTTGGGATTGAGTGAGCTGAAAGCTGAACATGGTTGGTGGGTTTTGAATGGTGGTGAGTTGAGGGAGCTTGAAGTTGCCGAGAGAGAGAGAGATGGTGAGGGTTGATGCAGGTCATGAAGTTGTGTTGGGAGAAGTGGTCGAGCACTCTAAGCATGGAAGTAGAGTGCTCGAATTGGGACCAGTAGCCTCAGCAGCTTTGGGGTTTAAAAATCAAACAAGGTCGAGCACTCCAAATTGGAGTTTAGATTGCTCGAAATGAAGCCAGAGAGTTCGGGTTTGCTGGGAGGTGGCTGCGAGCACTCCAAAGGAACTTGAGAGGGCTCGAAAATGAGGCAGTGAGCTCATTAGGCAACATGGAGATGGAATTGGCAATGTGAGCAACATTATGCAAACTAGATGGAAAAATTTTTGCAACTGCTGCACCTGAGGCCAAGTAATACATAGATGGATTTTCAGACCTTGCATGCATTTTTCCAAACCAATGCATGGATGGAAATCAAGAACTTGGCAACTTCATGCAATGCATGGAAAATTTGGAAAATGCTTCAAACTGTGCAAATTTTTTTTTTTTTACAGCATGGAAAATTTAGAAAAATTTTGAAATTGTGCAAATTTTTTTTTTTTTTTTTTTTTTTTGTTTTCAATGAGTGCATGGATGAAATGGATTGAAATTTTGCATGGATGGAAAAAATTGAAATTTTTCATAGGAAATGAAATTTTTTTTTTTTTTTCATGGAAACTTTTCATGGAAATTTTTTTCTTTAATGATGCATGCATGAATTTAAATTGCATGGAAAAATTTACAACTTTTACAACATCACACAAAGCATGAATGAAATTTCTGAAGAAAATTTTTAAACGTTGCAAATTCATTCCATTCCAATGCATGGATGAAATTTTTTTTTTTTTTTTTTTTTTTTTTTTTAAACTTTGCACTGCACACAATGCATGGATGAGTTTAAGAAAATTTTCAAGCTTTTTGCAACATGATGCAAAATGGATAGAATTCTCAAAAATGAAAATTTTAAGCATAGAGAATTTTTGAAAATTTGCATGTCAGTCCTAAATTCAAGCCATGCATGGAAAATTTGAAACTTGACACATTATTCCAATCCAATGCATGGATGGATTTTTATAAAAATTTGGAAAACTTTTCAACTTCTTTCTAATGCATGGATCAAATTGGAAATTTTTTCAAAATGTAACACCTCTCCAATGCATGGATAGAAAATTTTTGGAAAAATTGTCAAATTGCTCAACATTTCTAATGCCTGGATGAAAATTTTTCAAACTTTGCATTTCATTTCCAATGCCTGGAAAGTTTTGAGAAAATTTTCAAACCTTGCAGCTTCTCTCTAATGAATGAAAATTTTTGAGGAACCATGATTCAACAATGCATTAAAAAGGAGAGGTTGTGCACATGAGTTGCATGCCAAAGATCCTATGAAATTGCTCAAAAGCGATAGAAATTTCCGGGAATGAAAATTAGAGCTAAGAAGGTCTAAGAGGCCAGTCTAAAATTGTGAAACACAACTGAAGACCATTTTAGAAAAATCAAATTTTTGGCTTATCGAAACCATTTCCCAGAAAATTTCAAGGCACGAGCAATTTAAGAAGGTAGAGAAGCTTGGAACATCGAAAGAATTTATTCCCTTGCTTTGCTAAATTTAATGTCGATAGCTAGACGAAGTTAGAGCAGGCACTATTCCTCATAAATGGGATCCGTCAAGGGGACTTCCTCAACTTTTCGGGTTAGAATTGTGCTGTCAATGCAAGGCTTAAGCCTTTGGCCATTTACCTTGAAGAGTGATCCACTTGTAGGATCATGAAGTTCGATTGCTCCATGAGGAAAGACGGTAGTGACAATGTATGGACCATCCCATCTTGACCGGAGTTTACCGGGAAAGAGCTTCAAGCGGGAATTGAAAAGCCAGACCTTTTGTCCTGGGGCAAAAGACTTTTTGACGATGTGTTTGTCATGAAAAGCTTTAGTCTTTGCCTTGTAAATTTTTGCATTTTCATACGCGTCATTACGCAATTCCTCAAGTTCATTTAATTGCAACGCACGATTAGAGCCGGCTTGTTTGAGATCAAAATTGAACCTTTTTACGGCCCAATAAGCACGGTGCTCTAATTCTACCGGGAGATGACATGCTTTGCCAAAGACAAGTCGATATGGTGACATGCCAATGGGTGTCTTATAAGCTGTCCGGTAAGCCCAAAGTGCATCGTTTAGCCGTAATGACCAATCTTTGCGATCCGGTCTAACCGTTTTTTCTAGAATGTGCTTAATCTCCCGGTTAGAAATCTCTACTTGACCACTCGTTTGAGGGTGGTAAGGTGTAGCAACCTTATGAATGACTGAATACTTAGCAAGGACGGATTTGAGATAACGATTTCGGAAATGAGATCCGCCATCACTAATGATTGCTCGGGGTGTACCAAAACGACTAAAGATGTGAGATTGAATGAAATGGATCACGACTTTATGATCATCGGTTTTGGTAGCCGCGGCTTCAACCCATTTAGACACATAATCCACCGCTACAAGGATGTACTCATAGCCATAAGAAGATGGAAATGGTCCCATGAAGTCAATCCCCCACACATCAAAAATTTCAACAATTAAAATGTTGGTGAGGGGCATCATGTCTCTTCGGGACATGGATCCAAGTTTTTGACATCGTTCACACGATTTGCAAAAATTGTATGCATCCCGGAACAAGGTAGGCCAAAAGAATCCGCTTTGAAAGATTTTGTTAGCGGTCTTTTTGGCACTGAAATGGCCTCCACAAGCAAGAGTATGGCAAAAATTTAAAATGCTTGTGGCCTCGGTTTCAGGAATACATCGCCGGATGATTTGGTCCGGGCAATACTTGAATAATTCCGGATCTTCCCAAAAGAAATGCTTGACTTGGGAGAAAAACTGGTCCCTCTCTTGTTTGGACCAATGAGCTGGAATTTTGCCAACCGCAAGATAATTGACAATATCCGCAAACCACGGAAGAGTAGAATGTGAAACTTGAAGAAGTTGCTCATCCGGAAAGGAATCACGGATGGCTGCAAATTCTGAAGATTTCTCAATAAGTAAGCGAGAGAGATGATCGGCGACAACATTGTCGGTCCCTTTTTTGTCCCGGATGTCAATGTCAAACTCTTGAAGTAAGAGGATCCATCGAATTAAGCGGGGTTTTGTCTCTTTTTTCGCTAACAAATGCCTAAGAGCGGCATGATCTGAAAAGACGATGACCTTGGAGCCAAGAAGATAGGAGCGAAATTTATCCAAGGCGTACACCACAGCTAGCAATTTTTTTTTGCAGTGGTGGTGTAGTTCAATTGGGCATCGCAGAGAGTTTTGCTAGCATAATAAATGACATGCGGAAGTTTATCCACACGTTGGCCCAAAACCGCCCCTAATGCATAATCGGATGCATCACACATGATCTCAAAGGGAAGAGACCAATTAGGGGGTTTCATGATCGGGGCAGAGGAGAGGAGAATGCGAAGTTTGATGAAAGCTTCCATGCAAGCGTCATCAAAATTGAACGGAACATCCTTGGCTAAGAGATTACACAAGGGCCGTGAGATTTTGCTAAAATCTTTGATGAAGCGATGATAGAATCCGGCATGGCCAAGAAAAGAACGGATTTGACGGACGGAATTCGGAGGAGGAAGATTAGAGATTAACTCAACTTTTTCCTTGTCTACCTCGATTCCCCGCTTAGAAATGACATGTCCTAAAACAATGCCTTCTTGGACCATAAAGTGGCTTTTCTCCCAACTTAGAATGAGATTCGTCTCTTTGCATCTTTGGAGCACAAGAGATAAATTTTTGAGACACGAGTCAAAGGAGGAGCCAAATACGGAAAAGTCATCCATGAAAACTTCCAAGAACCTTTCAACCATATCGGAGAATATGGACATCATGCACCTTTGGAACGTTGCCGGTGCATTGCATAGACCAAAAGGCATGCGTCGATAGGCAAAAGTACCAAAGGGACATGCGAATGTTGTTTTCTCTTGATCTTGGGGGGCGATGGCCACTTGGTTATAGCCGGAATAACCATCAAGAAAACAATAGAAGCTTTGGCCGGCTAACCTTTCTAGGATTTGATCAATAAATGGGAGTGGGAAATGATCCTTCCTAGTTGATGAGTTGAGTTTACGATAGTCAATGCACACACGCCACCCGGTGGTGGTTCGTTGTGGCACGAGCTCGCCCGCTGAATTTTCAACAACGGTGAGCCCGGATTTCTTGGGGACAACTTGTGTGGGGCTCACCCACTTGCTATCAGAGATAGGATAGATGATTCCCGCATCTAGCAATTTGATCACCTCTTTCATGACCACTTCCTTCATGTTTGGATTTAACCGGCGCTGGACCTCTCTAGTAGGCTTTGCGTCATCCTCCATATGAATGCGGTGCATACAAATGGAGGGGTCAATTCCTTTCAAATCTGCCACTGTCCAACCAATAGCTTCTTTATGCTCTTGGAGCACCGCTAAAAGGTTGGTCTCTTGGTCTTTTTGAAGGTCCGAGGCAATAATGACCGGAAGGGTTTGCTTTGGACCAAGGAACACATACTTGAGATGGGCCGGGAGCGGCTTAAGCTCAAGTTGTGGCGGATATAACAATGATGGGACCGGAGGAGCGGTGGAAAGTTGGGGAAGTGGTTCTTTTGGAATTTTCCAAGGAGGTACATCCATGATAGCATTAATATCAAGCAAGGAATTGACTTCTTGAATGGCTTGATCAACATCAAAGTTTGAGAAGTCAAAATGAGACATGCAAGTTTCAAGGGGATCTTTGCTTAGGATGAAGGGGAGAGATTCTTCGACCACTTCATCAATGACATCCACAAGAAAACAATCATCCTCATTGGAGGGATGTTGAGTTGCATGAAAGATGTGGAGTTTGACTTGCATGTTTCCAAAAGCAATGTCCATCACCCCGGTTCGGCAATTAATTGATGCATTAGCCGTAGCCAAAAATGGTCTACCAAGGATCACGGGAATGTGCTTTTTTGGGTCATGGACTGGTTCCGTATCAAGAACCACAAAATCTACCGGGAAGTAGAATTTGTCCACTTTGATGATGACGTCCTCAAGAATACCTCGTGGATGCTTGACCGATCTATCGGCAAGTTGCAAAACCACGGAAGTTGGCTTAAGATCGCCCAAACCAAGTTGTAGGTAGACCGAGTATGGAATTAAATTCACACTAGCTCCTAAGTCAAGGAGGGCCCTCTCGATTTTGCTGTCACCAATGACGCACGAGAGTGTGGGGGCACCCGGATCCTTATACTTCGGGGGAGTGCTGTGCTGAATAATAGCACTAACATTTTCAGTCAACCTCACTTTTTTTGGCAAATGATTTTTAGAAGTGCGCTTTTGAGTGCACAAATCTTTGAGAAATTTTGCATAGGGAGGGATTTGCTTGATAGCATCCAACAGGGGCAAGTTAATCTTCACTTGCTTGAAGACTTCCCACATGTCTTGAATTTTACAATTCTTGTTCCCAAAGTGTGTCGACTCTTGAAGACGTTGAGGAAACGGAGCTTTTGGCTCATAAGTAGTTTCCACATTTGGGGAGACATGTGTGGGATATCCGTGAATGGTATTGGGACAAGAATTTGGATTAGAAGAGCTTGAATTTGGATTTTTCAACGGCGAAACTTCTTCACTTTTGTCTCCATCGACCTTGTTGTCCACCATTCTACCACTCCGAAGGGTGGTGATAGCTTGAACTTGTTCATGAGTCGGCCCACTCGGAGGAGGGGTTTCGTCAATCACATGCATTCCTCTAGGATTTTCAAAAGGTTGAGAGGGAAGCTTGCCCTTGTCCTTTTGAAGCAATTGATTCACCGAGTTAGCTATTTGGCCCACTTGATTTTCGAGATTAGCTATGGATTGAGTATGAGAGTGAACCATTTGGAGAGTAGGCTGCAAGGATGTCAAGAGTTGCTTGTTGGCATCCATTATTTGCTTATTTAATGATTCCATCATTTGCTTGTTTGCAGCTACTATCTCGTCAGTTGGACACACAGGAGGTTGATTGGAGACATTTGGATTGTAAGGAGGACGATAGCTTGAAGAGGCTTGGAAAGGTCTACCTTGATATTGAGAAGAGGGCTGATTTTGCCGCCCTTGGTTTTGGAATTGGGAATTCTGTGGGGCTTGTTGCCGCCATGAGAAATTCGGATGATCACGCCAACCCGGATTGTAGGTGTTGGAATATGGATTATTCCCGGGCCGCGAGAACATGGCATTAGCTTGCTCTTAGTTGGGACTAGGAAATTGCTCCGATGTGGGGCAATCTTCCGAGAGATGGAATGGACTAGTACATGAAGCACAAACTGAACTTGCCGAATTTTGAGACAATGAAGGAGGAAGATGTGGTGCCATCAATTGATAGAATTTATGAGCGATGGCATCCACTTGAGATGATTCCTCCCTTATTGACTTTGGTTGACAAGGGTTGGTGTTGCTTGGAGTGGTTGCGGTCGGAGCCCTACGAGAATTGTGTTGAAGTGAATTTTCACTCAAATTCTCAAGTAAGGTCCAAGCCTCATCCGCATTCTTGGACATGAACATCCCACCACAAGAAGAATCAACCATGAATCTATGGGTTTCGGTCAAGCCGGCATAGAAAGCTTGCACTAATTGCCATTTTGGGATCAAATGATGAGGACACTTCCGAAGAAGATCTTGTAACCTTTCCCAAGTCTCGTGGAGTTGTTCTCCATCAACTTGAGAAAAGCTTAGAATGGAACGCCTCATTTGGTTGGTTTTACTCACCGGATAATACTTCTTAAGAAATTCTTGTTGCAATTGAGCCCAAGAAGTAATAGAGTTGGGAGCGAGGGAGTTCAACCAATATTTTGCCCTATCCTTTAGGGAGAATGGGAAGAGATGGAGATGAAGTGCATTGTCCGGAAAACCTCTCAACCGGATGGTTGAACAGATTTCCAGGAACTCATCAAGATGCTTGTATGGATCTTCATTATCAAAGCCATGAAATGATGGAAGCATTTGAATGGTACTAGACTTGATCTCATATTGAGCTGCATCGATGTTTGGCATCACTATGCAAGATGGAGAAGCATAGGTGGTAGGGATGAAATGATCTCTAAGAGTCATTGGCTCGATATTAGGAATTTCAGCCCTTTCATTCCCCGGATTTCCTACGTTATCCCCCATTATATTGAATTCAGTTTCAAGGTCCCTTGTAAGAGTGGGTTCCCTAAGGTTCCGTCTAAGAGTTCTTTCAAGAGAATTGATATCAATGGGCGAATCGATTGTGGGTAAGGAAAGTGACCTACGACCGAACATCAACAATAAAGCATATACTCAACAAAGCAATTCATCAACCACAACTCCACATACGATGTTCCCTTTCTCCTCAATTATCAAGACGGAAAATGTAAATGGCCACGACAAGGACCGATGCTTTAACACAAAATTTAAACAGGATAAGAGCCTCAACAAGGGATTCACAACTAAACTAAAACTAAATTTAACACATGCACAATATTCACAACTCGAAACTAGAAGTCACGAGACTTACCTGGGGTCCTCTAGACTTACAATTTGCTAGCATTCCCACGGCGAGCTTCGAGTCCCTAGAATCTTACAACACTTAAAACACAAAGGTGGTCAAAACACACAAGGAATATTCACAAGACACAATATTCACAATCAAACTAAATTTAACCCTAGAAACTTCGGTTGCTAAACCGTTTGCAGTCCCCGGCAACGGCGCCAAAAATTGATCGGTTGGTCAATTAACATCAACCTTCGCAATAGCACGAATCATTGTAAAATAGGGCTATTGGTCGGGTAAGTCGAACCACAGGGACTACGCTAGTCTAATACAACCTAAATGTCTAGAATCATTCTTAGAATGATGAAGGGTGTATAGAGGTTTTGTTGGATGTCACTTAAGCTAGGAAATTAAAAGTGCATAAAACAGTAAATTGCAAGAATTCAAGGGAGTGAGTACAAGTAAAGAAGGCTAGGGAAATGAATCCACCTCCATCCCTATACACATGCTAGGTTAAGATTAATTTAAGGGGAAAACAACATATATGATAGTCATGATACATAACAATACTAGGTTGCTATAATATCCTTAAGAAGTTCATTTAATTAGAAAGGCAAGAATAAACCATCAAAGGTTCACATGATCAACTACCTAAACTAAAATGTAGCTTAGAACATGCTTACTAAGCCAAGGATTATCAAGCCCTAATTTAAATGGTGAATGCACATAAAGCTAAGAATCAAGTATAGCCCATCAAAGGGAAACCCTAAGCCATGAACTATCTAGGTTCTCCAACTCCATGCCATTAAAACCATTCCATGATCTAACTTCCATTGTCACCATGGAAGTGCAAGCAATATGATTAAGAAAGGCAACCATCCAAGACAAGATGAATAACTCACAATAATCATTTAAAACATTCAACATTCATTACAACAAAAATGAGGCTCTTGACCATGGAAAGACTATCAAAAATACATTGTAATCCCCAAAAATAAACTATACTAACACATGCTTACAAGGGAGGGGTTTCATCACCTCCCTAGATGAGGTTTAGTTACCCATTGGTGAGCTAGAAGAAGGAAGAAGCATCATCCTCATCTCCATTTTCGAGCTCCTACTGTAGCACTCAAGAACACCCTTCTCCTTGCTCTCTTCTCTCTCCTTTCTCTTGCTCAAGATAAAGCTTAATGATATATGTGGCCTTTGGGTAGCCTTTTATGCTCCAACCATACCCTCTCTCCTCCAAGGAACACCTCCAACCACTTCATAAAGAGGGAAGATGGCATTGAGGAAACCAATGTGCAAGTGGGCTGAAATGAGCTATTTCCGAAGGGCATTCTGCCTGATTTTCGAGCGCACGCTTGGTGACTTCGAGCACTCTAACTTAGTGCAATGTGCAACATGCTCCTCTTGCTCAGTGCTGACCTATTTTGGGAAAACTGCTATAACTTTGTGCCCCGAACTCCGAATGATGATCTGTTTGAAGCTTTGGAGAGCTGATTCAGTGCTTTAAAAACTTCATGTTTTGATGAAGACCCAAATCTCAAGTCTGGTTGGTCGAAAATGGGGAGAAAGGCAGTACATCAGTGCTGCTAGGCAGTTCTGCGCACCTCTGTTGTGAAGATCATAACTCTCTGCTCTGAACTCCGAATGATGAACCACTTGAAGATTTGGAAAGCTGATTCAGAACTCTAAATCTTTCATGTTATGAGGGAAGTCCAGTTCTCGAGTTTGGAAGGTCAAAATGGCAAGCGAAGTCCAGGCTCTACTGCTGCCAGAATTCAGCATTGGCACCCTTTTGTTGCTCAAGACTCCACAA